CAGATCCAAACAAGGCTGTGGTGGCTGACTGCTGACAGCCCTGTTCCTGGAGGAGCATAGGAGAGCTCCTTTTTGAGTAAAGATGGGGAGGAATCAAAGTGTGGGGAAAATGGAGGGAGGGGAGAGGTGCCCATTGGAAAAATCTTGTTAACCAAGCCACAGCACTATCCTGCATTAGAATGAGCACATGCACATGAARAAGAAAGGTTATAGTAAGTCAGTCCTAATTTCAAGGACCATTTCTTAAGAATGCAGCTAACTGGGTTGTAGGAATGATACAAGGAGGGGAAAAAAGTGAATGTTTCAGGGCAAGAGCTGATTCCTTCTAGAATTGTCACAAAATTCAATACTGTCATTCCACTGTATTAAAATACCACTTATAGGTAGCCCAACCCACAGTCCAGACTCAAAGGCTATCTTAGTAAGGTGTATAGATTGAGGAAAACACCCAAATTCTCTCTTCAACCATATCCTTTGTTCTCTTTTTACACTGGCCAGTTTGCTGTGGGTAAAAGGCAGACTTGGTGGTTTGTGACAGAAGGAATGGCACCTTCCCCTGTAGAAACTTGGTGTGTAACATGTGCAATGCAAAGAAGTGTGGAACAGCTGCTGCAAGCCCAAAAGGTGACTCGGGGTACGAACCTGCTCCTTTGGGTGTTCATCACCTAAATACTTCTGCARCTTTGCCAAGCAAAAGTGGGCAAACAGAGACCTCCCTCGGACGATGATCCAATCATTGCACAGCCCAACACGGAGAAAGCCAGCTACTGTCACTTTATTTGTCTTCATGCCTTGTGGTTCACTACACTTGTTTACAATACAAATACACTATTCAATACAAAATRCTCAATGACCATATATTAGTATTTCTCTTCATAGTATCCCTGAAGTGTACAGGCCCTCCCTTTATAAACAAAGTTACATAAACGGCTGTACATGAGACGGACACTCCCAGAATGAAGCTCGGTACTAAAWGAAGCCAGATGCAGACACTCGGGATGTTTCCCTGTGATGGGTTTAACTCGGGGACAGACAAACAGCGATGTCTTTGCTGCTGTGGAAGGCTGTTTTATGCTATTCCCATGTCAAGGTTCTCATTCCCCAGAAGAAGACAGGTGCAGCACCAGGAGCAGAAATGTAAAGTGGCACCCATCATTCCCCATTTCACCCCSCTGTGCCGTGCTGCGGCCGCTCCCGCAGAGCCTGTGCAGGGAAGCGGAGCCCCCACAGTCTGACACCSCTGTCCGAAGCCGACTCGGCCAAATTAATGCAGCCCTGGGGCTTGCAGCCTGTGCTCCCCACACCTCCTGTCGCTGTGGCCAAGCGCCTCTCCCACCACCGCTCCCTCGCTGCACCTGGAGGAAGCAGAACCAGCCCCACTCCTGCCCGCGCTTCATTCCCAGGCACACGGTGCAGAAACAAGGTTCAGTGGCAAAAGGGAAGATGACAGGACAACTGGAACGGTAGAGAGGCAGGCATCCGAACCTGGTTTACCTCCAGCAGCTCAGAGAGTCAGAAACCTACTGATCTTCTACAGGAAACCAGGTAACACCCGCATGGAAAGAAGCCATTTTCAGAGCATAAGAGTGGCAGCACAGGGTTTTTCCCAGTTGTGCTTTACATCTTGTAGATCATACTGTTTCCCGCTTTTCCACTGTAGAATGAGAAAGACATAAATCAGAATATTGTTATTACCAACAAAACAGATTAACAGTCTTTAAAAGAGTATTTTAAAGTTCCTTTAAAAATACAGTGTGTCAATAAACTATAAATTAAAAAATAAGTTATAGACAAAAATGGGTAAGAGGGTTAAAATAACTTGAATTTGTTTTTCTCCTAGCATGGAGGAGTTTGATAACGGCATTTGGGATTTACAGAGTGCTTTGGTCTGGTGAGCCCATGGTGACTTAAATCCTTTCTGGTCCCTGCAGCTCKGAGTACTGAACAAGCAAATTGTCTCAGACACAGAAATTAAAAGTTTCTGGTTCATGACTGGACAGAATGCTCATGGCAATTGCAGTTCTCATGTGCTTAGTGCTAAAATAATACATGTTAAATGTTCTATCAGYCCTTCAGCTCTTTGGAGATGGTACCGTGATTGGTAGTGCCTGCATGTGAGCTGTTACTTTAGCAACAGAGGAAAGGGGGATCAGTATGGGAAGTGCCCCTCAGATCATCCAGGGATGCAAATAAAATCTTGCATTGTCACTGAAATCCTGGCAATGCTTTGACAACAGGATAAATGCTTAAAGTTAAGCAATTCAGTTGCTGAATGACCAGGAAGCTTTGATGCA